GTCTGATATGGCGGGGGCCCTCCCCACCCACAGGCGTAACCCTTTCACTGCCTGGCCAAAGGTCCAGGATAGAGCGGCTGGCGTGGTTTTTGCCAAGTCTCATCTAAAATTAAATCTAGCTTTAGGAGATGTAGAAACTGCCGCCAAACACACATACTAAAGGATGGAGGAAGAACAGGAGGCGGCACAAGAGCAGGCAGAGATGGTGGGGAGAGCAGTGAGCAATGGAACCTGGAGGATCATATATTAGGAAGGCAGACAGATGCTGAGGGATGTTTCAGTCTCTGGATTCCTGGCTCCTAACAAGCCTGTCTTGCTACAAATGAAAGACTTTTGTATTTATTGCCCTGCAAGCTCAACTTGTTTCCACGATTCCACATGTGTAATTACATTACAAATGAATACTTCCGCAGCAAATATTTATGATGGTAGGTGGGAAGCAGAAACCGGAGATGGACAAAGACTAGAGCAAGCTAATGTCGGGAAAAGAAAAAAAGTTGGTGTTCTACCTTGTTACCCTCCTTATACGCCCGTCTCCTTACTATACTGGCATCTAGCCAGTTACTCTGGTGGGAACACACAGTGCAGTTTAAATATTCTTTGACTATAAAGCCCCTTGCACATGGGACGTCAAGCCCTGTGCCTCCAATCATTGCATCATGATCTGCCTGGCTAAAATGCTGCCCCTAGTTTGGAGGTACAGGGGCTAGATATATCCTATGTGTAAAAGGGTGATGTCAGAAGTGATTCCGATGCTAGAGAAAAAAAAAAAAAAAGGCAATGGTACAATCGCTAAAGAGGCTGCCTGTCTCTCCCTATGGATTCATAGGAAAGAAGGAGCACCCAATGTCCAACAAAATGCACTTCTGATGGTAGAATAAGAGGCATTTAATGAGAAGAACGACAAGTACATCAAACCAACGCATTTCGGGAGAAAACACTACCTTCTTCAGAGTTGTTGCTGCACGCTATTAAATGGGAAAGATTCCCATGCTGGTTAAGTATCCTCCTGGTTGCGAAGGAAAAATTGACCGACAGATTGCTGCCCCTGGAACGACAGCGGTTGTTATTCTCAGTAAATGCCTCTTAATCTGTAATCAAAAGTGCATTCTTTTAGACATCAGGTGCTCCTTCTTTCCTATAATTCCAAGTGTAATTGTGGAAACGACCTTAAAAGCGAAGCTCCGCTTTAATGCTTTTTTCTCCACTCCCTGTTAAGGATTGGCACCTTTGGGGAGCGGGGGAGTTTACCCAAATTTGACAGGTACCCACCGGTGCGATCACCACAATCGGAAAAGGAATTTGTCCTTCCCCCTCCCTCCCTGTAGTCTTCTGAGACATGGGACAGGTCCCAGAAGACTACAAGACCATTCACAAAGTGCAGTCCCGCATGTGTAGTGGGCACCCGGCTATGAAGCCGCAAGCTGTCACAGCCGGGTGCCCACACTAAGGATGCCAGCGCCGAGGAGAAACATAACATGGTGAGGACACCGCTGGACCGAGGGACAGGTAAGTGTCTGTATTTTAAAAGTCAGCAGCTAATTTTTGTAGCTGCTGACTTTTTTTTTCTTTTTATTCAACTGGAATTCCGCTTTAAGGCCGTACCAGAAATGCAGCCGTCCAGACCCTAAGAGTGTTTACTACCAGTATCCACCACTGGGCACAACTGACTGGAGGGACATCTCCCTACCTACCCACAAAAACTACTAACCTATGACCAGCAACTGATCCAGTCAGTCCACCAAAGACTTCAGCACAAACAAACTCTGTCCCTATGGAATTGTCTCTCTGTCGCTGGCCCAAACACTGCGGAATCGTTAACATTACTGATGGGTAGCGGCAGAGTAGCCGGTCTGCCATCAACTTTAAGATGGCCATACACTTTTAGATTTTTTTTTTATGCCGCCTGTGGGCTGAATGAAAGAAATATAACAGATTCCTCCATTCACACTAAACAGTGCAGAAGGATGACTCTGCCCTGGCCGTGACTGTATTCTGACAGCTGCCTCTAGTGGCTGTCAGAATATCCAAACAATGTTAGCAACTGATTGGATGCAGGCACTGCTAGGCCAACAATTTTGCACCCAGCTCCTTAAACACAAAAGTTAACTGTCCATTCAGCTTTTGTCGAAGCGGGTGGTACCAGCTGTGGCACCCACAGCTTGAATTTCGGCAAATTGGCCAAAATTTGGGTCATGTATTGCAGCCTTTAGTGCTGATATCTAGTTTGTTTTCCTTTTCTACCACAGCTCTATGTTCACTGTTCCCATCCACTCCAGTAATTCGCTCACTAGCATAACTTTCTGTGGCTCCTGCTCTAGTGGAACCAATCTCATGCTACAGCTCTTGTTATTTTAGGCCTCCTTATAGCCCAACTCCAGCCATAACTTTATTTAGTTTTGTTTTTTTTTCTCTAAATAAAGTAGTTCAGACTCTATGTCTGGTTTTAATTGCTGTCTGGCTCCCCATTGGAGAGATCTTCCTTCCTGGACAAAGTAGGGAAAAGGTTAACATCCTTAATCAGGAGTTTATTGCTGAGCCCCTACTAGGGAGGGGCACCTTTTTTCTGGGACTGAAACAAAAGAGAAAAATCCACAATTTTGAGTTTCCAGAACAGTAATAAGGAGAAAGTTTTCCAAGGGGTTTACTTGTGGTGACAACTGAAAGGATTCCCTTACTGTGGAAAGACTGTTGTGTCTATGGGACAGAAAGTGGAGGTTAACCTCCCCAGTTGAACATTAATTACATCCTACTCTATCCAAAAACCTTCAAAAAAAACGTTTGGGCTTTATATATGCTTTTAAAAGACCAAGTTGCCAGACCATTCATTTTAACAATTAAAAATCTCTGAGATTGCTGCTGGACACCAACATCTTGGATGTGGTATCAGCAGCCCTGGCAGACTCCAAGCTGTCAATTTAATGACACGATACAGGAGCCATTCTTTACCTTTGTACCATAGAGGAACCATTGGAATAATTTTGAGGTCTCAGGGAATCCCTGGTAAGATTAGCCTAATGAGGGTCTTTGTGAAACTGCCCCTTACGTTGGTGGTGGTAAGTGAGAATACCCCCCCCCCCCCCTTACAAGGATGACCAGAATGACACCTTTGCAGTCAAGTCACCGGCTCTGCCAAGTTTTTTTTCGGACCTGAACTATGCAGGCACCATCAAATGGGTGGTCAGTTCGCCACAGCTCAAATAAATCCTCTATATCCCTGGAGGAGTCCTAGGGTTCTACGAAACCCTGGTTGAGAATGGCTGCTCTACGGTATTTCCCTTTGCTTCTCCCAACAGCTACATAAATGTTATGTAGGAAGGTGAGGGCAAGAGCAGAGAAGCTGGGATAACACAGACAGTAAACAGACACTCCCAGAAGGGGAGAAGGCTATGAAGTACAAGGAGGGAGAAGTCTATGGTATTGAACGGGTTACTTTCTGGAATGTCAGCTCCCTAGCAAGTTCAGGGGCACATTGCAGTCAAAAAGAAAAATAGTTCCTAGAAAAGGAAAAAATGTTACAAGTAGGCAATCACAATACTTGACGACAGGGCTGGTGACAGTTCTTGCTAGGCCTATTTTAGGCCCTGTTAGGAAAGTGCAAGTTGCATAGGCACTTTGTCACAGTCCTATCAGCACAGCAACCAAACAAGTCCCGATTACCCCAATATTCAAGTTCCAAATTACGCAAATATTGTTAAAGCTAGAAACACACATAACCACCCATTCCCCAAGAGATCACTGGGCACCCATATCTGTTGTCACTTCCCCTTGCTTACTAAAATGAATGTTATAACTTCTTTCAGTGGAATGTCTGTGAAACACACTTATCAAGATCTGTTAATGGCTGAGATATGGTATATTGTTAAAACGGAACACATGCATTTGCATTAATTTTGCACTCGCTTGTATTGTATGTGCAAAATTGGCAGAAGATTAATCAGTGAAATTTTTGGAGCCAAACATTTTTTTAAGACCATTAAGAAAGTCATAAAAATGAATACTAATATTTAATTGTCAAAAAATCTACTTACCATGGATTGGAATAGAGAGCATTGGAGCCACCAGCAGTATAGTTGCCTGTTTAACTCCAGAGAGAAGTAACAATTCCAGGTATGCCAACTACAATGCCCAGTATAAGGCATGTGAAAAAACTCCTGCAGTTTTAGACTTCATTCTAATTATTTATTTATTTCAGGTACTTATATAGCGCCGTCAATTTACACAGCACTTCACATATATATTGTACATTCACATCAGTCCCTAACCCTCAAGGAGCATACAATCTAAGGTCCCTAACTTACATTCATACATACACATACTAGGGACAATTTAGACAGGAGCCAATTAACCTTCCAGCATGTCTTTGGAGTCTGGGAGGAAACCGGAGTACCCGGAGGAAACCCACGCAGGCACAGGGAGAGCATGCAAACTCCAGGCAGGTGGTGCCATGGTTGGGATTCGAACCAATGACCCTAGTACTGCCAGGCAGAAGTGCTAACCACTTAGCCACTGTGCTGCCCATTCTAATTAAAGCAGAACACTGGGCAGCTTTGTTCGATTAGGATAGGGTTAGAGCCTCTGATGACCAGGGAATAGTAAGTAAGGGCTTGTTTACATCTGCAGCTGTGTTTGCCACCCCTCTGAAAAGCAATCTACAGTAGACTGCTTTTCAGAGACAGATGGCTCAGAGGCGATATGTTGCCTCCTCCATGCGTCAGTGCGTCTTATGGAGCGAATATGGAGCGGCCGGTCTGGTATTCCCACCGCCGCCGCGTCAGAATACCGGGCCGGCCGCTCTTCTCTTCTCTGCAGGAGGACCTTACCTGTTCCTCGGTCCAGCACTGAGAAGGCTTCCCACGTCGACATCTTTAGTGTGGTCTCTCAGCTGTGGCAGCCGGGGTGCTCAGTGCGCATGCGCGAGAAGCGCTGGCTTTGTGAATAGTACGGCGTCTTCTGGGATACATGACAGGTCCCAGAAGACACCGGACCAATCACAAAGCGCAGCGCTTCTCACGCATGCTCAGTGGGTTCCCAGCTGTCAGCTGGGTGCCCACACTAAAGAGAGGACAACTCCGCGGAAGTGGGAGCGGGTACCTGTCAAATTCAGGTACCCGCTCTCCCTCCCCAAAGGTCCACATTCTCTTAGTCATCCCCTGTACTGTGTCCCAGTCTCTGGTCATCCCCTGTACTGTCCACAGTCTCTGATCATCTCCTGTACTGTCCGCAGTCTCTGGTCATCCCCTGTACTATGTCTGCAGTCTCTTGGTCATCCCCTATACTGTCTGCAGTCTCTGGTCATCTCCTGTAGTACGCTCGCAGTCTCTGGTCATCTCCTGTACTGTGTCCGCAGTCTCTGGTCATCTCCTGTACTGTGTCCGCAGTCTCTGGTCATCTCCTGTACTGTGTCCGCAGTCTCTGGTCATCTCCTGTACTGTGTCCGCAGTCTCTGGTCATCTCCTGTACTGTGTCCGCAGTCTCTGGTCATCTCCTGTACTGTGTCCGCAGTCTCTGGTCATCTCCTGTACTGTGTCCGCAGTCTCTGGTCATCTCCTGTACTGTGTCCGCAGTCTCTGGTCATCTCCTGTACTGTGTCCGCAGTCTCTGGTCATCTCCTGTACTGTGTCCGCAGTCTCTGGTGATCTCCTGTACTGTGTCCGCAGTCTCTGCAGTCTCTGGTCATCTCCTATAGTATGTCTGCAGTCTCTGGTCATTTTCTGTACGGTGTCTGCAGTCCATTGGTTCAGAATATTTTTTTTCTTGTTTTCCGCCTCTAAAACTTAGGTGGTCTTATGGTCAGGTGCGTCTTATGGAGCGCAAAATATGGTATGTATGTCTCTGGTGCCTATAGGAATATACGTGGATATAAGCAATAAAGAGCACCTGTTTGGAAACAGATTATAAATGCACGGATCAAGCTCACATTATGGACTTTTAAGTTGTATTCAGTGTGTTCACCATTGTTGCATAATCACATGGTTTGGATGCTTTAATTCATACATGAGGTTATAGAGATATATGCGCGTCACTATTTTATGACATATCTTGTGTGTGGAAACACATGTAAGTGTCAGCAGCACTGGTATACACAGGAATTTGAGGAGTTATTTGTTGCGCTGAAGTTTTATTTCTACACATGTTAACTTGAAGCTCGATCGTCAAGGTGTAGTAAAACCACAGCTCACCTGCCTGTTTTTACTGCCCTTTGTCCACCCATTTAAATGAGGCCAAAAGTAAATCTCATTAATGGGGACATAGACCGTAATAAAAGTTCTAACCCTTCTCCACTAAATACACTGTAATTTGTAGATAAAACAGAAAGAATCAACAAAACGCATTTTTGTGATATCCAGAAGGGCAGCTCAGGTAGAAAAAAAATATAGGGGGTGCATGCAACACTGTATTACACAATAAATCAGCAGTGATGACTAAATCTTTCTTAAATTGGCTGAAAGGTACTGAATGGATTGATGGAGCTTCTCAACCACAGCTGTTAGCAGCCAGAGCCCTGAACAAGACAAGATGACCAAACTTTTAGTTTAACTCCTCATTCACACTTGTGACTCGGCCAGGCAACAGATTCCTACGGCAAAAATCTGCATATCCCTGCAGCTGAAAATATAGATTGCATGTGAGCAGTCAGCCTTCACCTGTGCTTAGGGACAGATAATCAGCTCAGGATACAGATTGTGTCCAGAACCAATCACCTAACTATGAGTACGCACGGGATGTGCAGATACTGGATTATGCAGATTATGGATTATGCGGCAAACAGCCACGGTTCACTTCAGGCTGACATTGCAGCTGTTCACTCTTACACCTGTGTTTCCAGCCGCAGGAATCTGTGGTCCTTGCAATAAGAATCCACTGTCCAGCCCAATCAGAAGTGTTAATGATGCCTATAAATACAATAGGCTTTAGGTGTGGAAGCGGCTGGGAAAAAAAAAAAAAAAAAAAAACGGTTTGTGTTGCTAACCGCAGATACTGAATTTTGTCTGCCAGAAGTTACAAGATAAAAAAAGGCAGATGGGTTCTGAAAGCTTTGATGTCATCGGTGGAGTTAACAACACAGCAAAATTCCAAAGGCTAACCATAGGACCTGTGGTCTTCCTTCAGTTGATCGTTTCCCCATTACTGATTTGCCATGTCTTTTTCTGCACTAGCTTGGTAGAGGCAGGGCTTTACTTCCTTCCTCGTGTCAGAGTCTCCAGCAAGGAAAACTGTGAGCAGCACATTAGTGACATCACCAAATCTCACTCCAAATCTCTAGAGACTAGCAGTCAGAGGCAGGAGTGCATTATATTTTACAAAGATATAAGATAGATCAGCCTTTTTCAACCAAAGGTGCCTTTAGGTTTCTTTAGGTGTGCCTTGGTAGAGGCAGGGCTTTACTTCCTCATGTCAGTCTCCAGCAAGGAAAACTGTGAGCAGCACATTAGTGACATCACCAAATTTCACTCCAAATCTCCAGAGACTAGCAGTCAGAAGCAAGAGTGCATTATATTTTACAAAGATATAAGATAGATCAGCCTTTTTCAACCAAAGGTGCCTTTAGGTTTCTTTAGGTGTGCCTTGGTAAAGCTTGGTAGAGGCAGGGCTTTACTTCCTCATGTCAGAGTCTCCAGCAAGGAAAACTGAGCAGCACATTAGTGACATCACCAAATCTCACTCCAAATCTTCAGAGACTAGCGGTCAGAGGCAGGAGTGCATTATATTTTACAAAGATATAAGATAGATCAGCCTTTTTCAACCAAAGGTGCCTTTAGATTTCTTTAGGTGTGCCTTACCAAAATGCCTAAAAAATTCCCAAAAATTGTATACAAGCCAGCAGGTGGATTAACCTTGCCTTTTAGATACAGAAAGCCACAGGTTTTCATTGCGCACTCTTCCAACCTTCCCGCTGTAGGTGTCCTAACAACCAATTACATCATTGTTAAGGATAAGGGGGATGTTGGACATCTGCACAGCATCCTTCTTTACCTCCCCCCTACCCCTCTCCATCAGCACTGGGGTCACATTAGCTGAGTGAGGAAGTAAAACATTGCAATACTAGTCAGTACCAGTGTGCAAAAGGCATATTTCCTTTGGAAGAATAAATCATGTTGGGTGTCCTACTTAAATGGGTATTGCTCCGTTATGTAAAACTATTAATTTTAGTTATTTACATTTTAGAAAGGGGTGCCTTGAGATTGTGCGGAATTTTAAAGGGTGTCTTGACTGCAAAAAAGTTGAGAAACACTGATATATATATATATATATATATATATATTACATAAATGAGTCTGTAGACCAGCCTTTAGTGGGCACACACTAGGAGAAAAAGAAAAACAATTCCATATGACCAACGTTCATTTGATTTTCATCTAGTGTGTACACAACTTTCTTATTCAAACTTTCCAAATTTAAAAAAGTGAAGATTTGTAAGCTGCTATATAAGTGATGAAAAGTCCAGAGATTTACCGCGTTAGAGCATTTTTACAGCTAAAAAACTTCTCTAGAAACCCACTAGTCTTGGGTTTTTTTTCCAGCCAAAAAACGCCCCTGCCAAAAAAACGTTGATTACAGACTATGTGTGCATGGACACATAGAATAACATGCTGGGGAGTTTACATACTGTAGAAAAAGAGCCAAAAACAGCATCTGTAAAAACGTCCCGCGTGCATGAGGATTTATGCAAGACATATTTCAAAATGAGAATAATAGTAAATAGTACGGTATACACAATGACATCCCTCCTACAGCTTCCCGTCTAGCCCTCCACCAAGCAGCCCTCTCTCCCCCTCTCCTCTCTTGTTTTCAGATGTTTGGCCTGGAGATTCTCTCCAGGAAGCTGGTGTTCCTTCCCCTCTAGAGAGGGCCAAAGAGAAGGGGGGTGAGAGAGGAATGGGAACACAGAAACCAAGAGGAGAGAGTGGGAGAGACTGAAGGGGAAAGTGAAATGGACTATTACAGTGTAGGAGTAAAGAGACATCTGTCCATCTGTAACATGCTACAGCCCAATCCATTTTTGCCTACAGTAAATGGAAATCCAATTGCTAAGACTTCCAGATTGGCTAGGAAAATCCATCCTGGCTGACCAATATTTTCCCAAGCAGGCTCGATCAGGGGGGCACCAGAACAGGTGAACATGCTTTCATGTATGGGGCCACCATGAAGAAGAGATGAGCAAGAGTTTGATTACACCTCCCAGAGTGTTACCAAGACTGGTGAAAATTAGAATACAACCTTTATTTATGTAATATGTCAAACATCCCCATTTATCAAGCTGCAATAGAAGTAAATGTCCAGGCAGGGGCGGACTGACAACTCATGGGGCCCACGGGCAATAGGGGATTATGGGGCCCCTGTGTCCTTGCCCAAACTCAAAAAAGCCTATGAAAAAGGTACCAGGGGCATCTCATGGGGCCCCCTACTGACCCCGGGCCCTCGGGCAGTGCCCGAGTTTCCAAATGGTCAGTCCGCCCCTGTGTCCAGCCATAAATTTTTCTTGGTTCAGGATAGAACCACTGACACCAAGTAAATGGGGAAAATCTCTCCAAAGGAGTCCCAGATAGCAGTAAAACCTGAGTAGGGTTCTAGTCTTTCCCACTTCTATTCAAACCTAAACAAAAAAAAGATTTGGCTGGATTTTAAAGTGGACCTTCACTCCTGAGTGACTCAAGGTCCCTGCCAGGGGCGGACTGACAAATCATGGGGCCCATGGGCAAAAGGGGATCATGGGGCCCGTGTCCTTGCCCACACTCAAAAAAAGCCTATGAAAAAGGTACCAGGGGCATCTCATGGGGCCCCCTACTGACCCTGGGCCCTTGGGCAGTGCCCGAGTTTCCAAATGGTCAGTCCACCCCTGGTCCCTGCATACTCCTTCCTTCCCTGATGTTCCCTTTTTTTTAATGCATTTTTACCAGTCCCTTCCCCATTCTTGCCTATTTAAGAAGAACATGTCCCTGTGCCGCAACCCATAGTGACCATAGACCGTAGAATTTTTCCTACATGAGCTACATACAAAAGACTGCTATACCTCCATCATGGTTTAAAGTGGTTGTAAACACATATATCCAGTGAGGTGACTGGCCTCAGATGATACACACAGATAAAACAAATCCTCCTACATAAGTTGTACCTGTCTATCTACTGTCTTCTCTTCTCTACATCCATTCAAAGTGCTGAATTTTAAAGCTTGTCTGAGCTTTCACAAAGAAGGAGAGCTGAAGTTGCACTCTGCAGGCTATCAATCTGCTGCAGGTCCCTCCTGTCACCATTTTATTCTTGGTGTCAGGAAAGCTTGTCAGAAGTGACTCAGGCTGGTAGAGGCACGAAGCAGCAAACAGATATTACACTTGGGCCATACGTGCATAAAAACTTATGGAAAAAAAAAACGCACAGATTTCACTTGTGGAGACAAGAGTTTCCATCAGTTTTCATGCGCGTTTCAGTGAGTTTTCTACATGTTGCAGATTCCTGCCCAGAAAAAAATCCATACGATGCTAGTGTTGTGGTGTGAACAGGGTGCATAGAGAACATGTGTATTCTTTGTGCCCTAGCAGAACGCATGCAGAAAAACTCATGTCTTCAGCATGGTCTGAAAGAGGACTTCGTGTTTTTAATTAAGACAAGTACACACCATAGAGGGATATGCTTTGTTCATATTTCAAGTCTGAGATTTACAACCACTTTAAAGGCAAATTTGTCTTTATTATGTTTTTTGCAGCAGTGTTTACAGAACAAAAACGAAAGAG